AAGCACTGCATAGACAAACAGCCAGCATTTATACATTGCTGGCTAGGGAATTTATACATTTATTTATACATTGCTGGCGGTGTATATTAAACCTGAATTATACACCGCTGCGGGTGCACATGCAGTAGTTCCAATTGGTCCTGCCCCTTGTGACCTTTTTCCTGGTTGGCACTGTATAAATGCCGGCTGTTTCCCTATGCCTTTAAAATGGGGTGGAGTCCTGAAAAGCCCCTCTCATCCCCGACATCACAGGTTGGACCTGACAGTTGCACTCTCTCTCATTGGTGTCTTTGCAGTTTAACTTCTAAACCTTACACTATGTACGGAACGCATTCCTGAATCCTGCACTCTGTATGAAATGCATTCCTGAATCCTGCACTCTGTATAAAATGCATTCCTGAATCCTGCACTCTGTATGAAATGCATTCCTGAATCCTGCACTCTGTATAAAATGCATTCCTGAATCCTGCACTCTGTATGAAACGCATTCCTGAATCCTGCACTCTGTATAAAACGCAATCCTGAATCCTGCACTCTGTATGACATGCATTCCTGAATCCTGCACTCTGTATGAAATGCAATCCTGAATCCTGCACTCTGTATGAAATGCAATCCTGAATCCTGCACTCTGTATAAAACGCAATCCTGAATCCTGCACTCTGTATAAAACGCACTTTTGAATCCTGCACTCTGTATAAAATGCATTCCTGAATCCTGCACTCTGTATAAAACACACTCCTGAATCCTGCACTCTGTATAAAACGCACTCCTGAATCCTGCACTCTGTATAAAACGCATTCCTGAATCCTGCACTCTGTATAAAAAATGCAATCCTGAATCCTGCACTCTGTATGAAATGCAATCCTGAATCCTGCACTCTGTATAAAATGCAATCCTGAATCCTGCACTCTGTATAAAATGCAATCCTGAATCCTGCACTCTGTATGAAAACGCAATCCTGAATCCTGCACTCTGTATAAAATGCAATCCTGAATCCTGCACACTGTATAAAATACAATCCTGAATTCTGCACACTGTATAAAACGCAATCCTGAATCCTGCACTCTGTATAAAACGCATTCCTGAATCCTGCACTCTGTATAAAACGCATTCCTGAATCCTGCACTCTGTATAAAACGCACTCCTGAATCCTGCACTCTCTATGAAATGCATTCTTGAATCCTGCACTCTGTATAAAACGTAATCCTGAATCCTGCACTCTGTATGAAACGCACTCCAGAAACCTAAACTCTGTGCATGATGCATTCCTCAATCCTGCACTCTGTATGAAACACATTCCTGAATACTTCCACACTTTGTGTAATGCACTCTTCCACAGTTTGTGCAAAACCATTTGTAATGGAGGCTTTTTATTATTTTTTTTAAATGATTGTGCTGGGGTTTGTGTGTACAAGACTCTTGCTTGTGGCACAGCAATCAAAGCACATTTTATAGGTTCAAGGAAGCTCAGATTTTGTTTAACCATGTCCATTAGGCCCTTCCCACTGTTAACCATTTGGCCACACCCATTTTTGCCACACGCTACGCATGCCACAGGTCACTTCTTCCCTCAAGTGTCCCTCATTCTGAAGTTTAGAAGTTGGGAGGTATGACTTTGCCTGATAGAAGACCCCTGTATTCAGGTCTTTAGAGACTGGTAGAGAGGTATGTGCAGGCACCTCTAGGTAACTGAACTTTATACCTGGAGCACTTTTTTGTTTTGGCAGTATGCCTTTAAAAAAATGTCCCATGCCAGAGTCAAAAAATCCTTCCCGCTAGTTTTGGTAACTGTACCAAATCAGATTCAGGTCGTTCTTTAGGAGGGGTGGGCCCCCTCCAGGCAAACCCGCCCTAATCTATCTACTGCTCCATGTGCTCCAACTTTGGAGAACTTTGAAAATTACAGCATTAGAATCACAGTACACAGTGGAGCCTTGACGTAGGCACTGCAGCTTACACATATCTTTGCAAATGCATGCAAACAAAGCCCTCTGTTTTTAACATGAATTGTTAAGACTGGGTTAATTTGTTTTTTTTACAGGCTAGCTGGTATGTGTTCTAGGAAATCTTTGTGATACAAAGGGGTGCTATGGCTACACTAATTTCAAAAAGAATTACCTCCAGATAAATGATAAGAAAACTGAAGGTAATTAAGACATCTGTAAGTTGGCATACAGAGACAGGCAGAGTGATTATCTCTGTACACTTTGTAGCAGAATGGCATGTTTGCCACCTCTACCCTCTCCACCTGTTACTGGTTGCCAAGGATGCTGTTGGTTTCACAGACACCAGGCTCCTAGCAACCAGTGATGCTGACAATGGGTAGAGCCTGATGAGGAACCTGAGGGACTAGTTCCCAATCAGGTCCACTCCTCTTGTGAATGACAAATGGCAGTGGGCAGATTCTATAGCCAATAGCAAGATGTCTGTTTACTTTAAAATCCACATACTGTCTACTGTTAATCACAACCTGATGGGGAAATAGTGGGAATAGAGGGAAATAGTTGATTTACTAAAACTGGAGAGTGCAAAATCTGGTGCAGCTCTGCATAGAAACCAATCGGCTTCCAGGTTTTATTGACAAAGCTAAATTGAACAAGCTGAAGTTAGAAGCTGATTGGCACCATGCACAGCTGTACCAGATTTTGCACTCTTGTGTCTTAGCAAATCAACCCCAGTGTCTCTTAATCCCCATCAGGCTCCATCCATCCAGCTACAAAACTCCTCAGCCACTGCGCTGAGTGTGTAATAGGTGCAAAAGTGGGAGGGAGCTCAGCTGCACTGAGGATAGAGTGGTTGTATGGACACTCCAGCCTTGTTGCACCTTCCAACTTATTAAAATGTTTTCACTTATACACTACAACGTAACAAAAAAACAAAACTTGTTCCACAAATCAAGTACAGTATACAAAAGAGCGTGATATAGAAAAGACATATTACCTTTATTAACCTCACAGAGTAACTTCACTTTTGTTGAGAAAAAAATAACAACCCCTTCTTTGGGTATAAACTGCTCAAAAAAATTAAAAGAACACTTTTTAATCAGAGTATAGCATCGTCAATTAAACTCCTAGGATATTGATCTGGTCAGTTAAGTAGCAGAGGGGGTTGTTAACCAGTGTCAGCTGCTTTGGTGTTAATGAAATTGACAACAGGTGTCTTAGATGGGCAACAATGAAATGACCCCCAAAACTGAAATGGTTTTACAGGTGGAGGCCACTGACATTTTTTTCCATATTTCTGACTATTTTTAATTAGTTTTGCATTTGACTAGGGTCAGTTTCACTACTGGTAGCATGAGACGAAACCTGGACCCTACAGAGGTTGCACAGGCAGTCCAACTCCTCCAGGATGGCACATCAATACATGCCATTGCCAGAAGGTTTGCTGTGTCTCCCAGCACAGTCTCATGAGCGTGGAGAAGATTCCAGGAGACAGGCAGAGCTGGACAGGATCGTAGAAGGTCCTTAACCCATCAGCAGGGCCGGTATTTGCTCCTTTGTGCAAGGAGGAACAGAATGAGCACTGCTAGAGCCCTACAAAATTACCACCAGCAGGCCACTGGTGTGAATGTCTCTGACCAAACAATCAGAAACAGACTTCATGAGGGTGGTCTGAGGGCCTGACATTCTCTAGCAGGCCCTTTGCTCACTGCCACCATAGAGCTTGATTGTAATTTTTCATTGAATACCAGAATTGGCAGGTCTCCCACGGGCGCCCTGTGCTTTTCAGAGATGAGAGCAGGTTCACCCTGACAGACGTGAAAGGGTCTGGGGAAGCCATGGAGAACATTCTGCTGCCTGTAACATCAGTGATGGTCTGGGGAGGCATATCCTACAAACCTCTACAGGCTAGACTATGGAACCCTGACTGCCATTAGTTATCGGGATGAAATCCTTGGACCCAATGCTCACCTGACCTAAATCCAATAGAACCCCTCTGAGATATCATGTTTCGGTCCATCCGACACTGCCAGGTTGCACCTCAGACTGTCCAGGAGCACACTGATGCCCTTGTCCAGATCTGGGAGGAAATACCCCAGGACACCATCCATCATCTCATTAGGAGCATGCCCCAATGTTGTCAGGCATGCATACAAGCACATGGGGGCCAAACAAACTACTGAGTACCATTTTGAGTTGCTGCAATGACATTTCAGCAAAATGGACTAAGCTGCTGAATCATTTTTTCATTTTGATTTTCGAGGTGTCTTTGAATTCAGTCCTCTGTAGGTGATAATTTTCATTTCCATCAAACGATGGGGCATCCTTGTGTTCCTAACATATTACCCAGTCCATATCAGTATAGATATGCAGCATGATATTTTTCCCCATTGAGATCTGTTGTGTTTTCAAAGAGTTCCTTTAATTTTTTTGAGCAGTGTATTAATGCCAAAGTGAATCTGAGTGTGAGTGAATTTTTCATTATAAATAAGCTCATGCCCTTGCAGTGTTCTAATTAGGAAAGTTGCAATGTCTGCATCCCTTTAGAAGTAATTAACCCTTTAAGTGTAGCTCATGAAAAAAATAATTTTTTGTTGCAGAAGATGCCCAAAAGCTGACTTGTATCTTGGTGCAGACTTCTAAGAAAATTAGTGAGCCAATCACACAAGTAGGAAATTGTATTTTTGGGTGTGTGTGTGTACAGAAGGCCTGTACAAAAATGGAGTTACTCTTTTAATACTTATTTTTTGGATTCCTGCATAAGCCTGTGGCTGCTTGTTTCCCTTTAAAGAACAGAAGTGCTTTCTATAAAAGTTCCCGAACCTCCTTTCCATAGCCCCGATTACTTTTTCTTTCTTGAACCCAACTACTTACCTCAGGAAGATAGCTGCAGCTTTGTTTACATTGTCTGCCCAGGATCCTTTTCAATGCTGGTAGTGCCTGCACAGTGGCGGCTCTCTGTAGAAATTCTCCAATGATTAGACATCAGTAGATCTTGTAGAAACCTGGCCAGTGGTGAGCTGTTCCTTCTGGTGATTTTCTTTCCTTTTATCCCAGGGAGGCTGAACTGGTGGTCTACAACATGCTCAAGTTGCAAACGTCTTCTGCCTTTAGCAACAACTGGAGATGGAAACTGTCTACTTCATGCTGCCTCTTTAGGTAGGAGACAAGTCTTTTTTTTTTTTGTTTGAGAGCCAGTGACTACTATTGTCGTTTTATGCATGCATTTGTCCTAGAATTCAATCTAATAAACACAATTTATTGTGAATACTATGTTTATTAAAACAGGGATTTTCGCATCCCTAACATCCACAACTGTTAACACTCTCATCTTACTACCTTATATTGCAAAACCCCGAACCCTCATTAAAGTGCCTGCAATGGTATAAGTGTGGAAAGCATGACTGATCTGCTACCCTGCTAATATCCCATCCTAACCTGCTAACATCTTTTCCTGACCTACTACGCTACTAACACCCCATCCTAAACTGCTAACATCCCTTCCTGAACTACATCCTTGCTAACATCCCATCCTACCTTGCTAATATGCCATTCTAGCCTGCTAATAACCCTTTCTGACCTACCACCCTGCTAACATTCCTTCTTGACCTACTACTACCCTGCTAATATTCCTTCCTGACCTACTACCCTGCTAATATTCCTTCCTGACCTACTACCCTGCTAATATTCCTTCCTGACCTACTACTCTGCTAACATTCCTTCCTGACCTACTACTCTGCTAATATTCCTTCCTGACCTACTACCCTGCTAATATTCCTTCCTGACCTACTACCCTGCTAATATTCTTTTCTGACCTACTACCCTGCTAATATACCTTCCTGACCTACTACCCTGCTAACATTCCTTCCTGACCTACTACTCTGCTAACATTCCTTCCTGACCTACTACCCTGCTAATATTCCTTCCTGACCTACTACCCTGCTAACATTCCTTCCTGACCTACTACCCTGCTAACATTCCTTTCTGACCTACTACCCTGCTAACATTCCTTCCTGACCTACTACCCTGCTAACATTCCTTTCTGACCTACTACCCTGCTAACATTCCTTCCTGACCTACTACTCTGCTAATATTCCTTCCTGACCTACTACCCTGCTAATATTCCTTCCTGACCTACTACTCTTCTAATATTCCTTCCTGACCTACTACCCTACTAATATTCCTTCCTGACCTACTACCCTGCTAACATTCCTTCCTGACCTACTACCCTGCTACTATTCCTTCCTGACCTACTACTCTTCTAATATTCCTTCCTGACCTACTACCCTGCTAACATTCCTTCCTGACCTACTACCCTGCTAATATTCCTTCCTGACCTACTACCCTGCTAATATTCCTTCCTGACCTACTACCCTGCTAACATTCCTTCCTGACCTACTACCCTGCTAATATTCCTTCCTGACCTACTACTCTTCTAATATTCCTTCCTGACCTACTACCCTGCTAACATTCCTTCCTGACCTACTACCCTGCTAATATTCCTTCCTGACCTACTACTCTTCTAATATTCCTTCCTGACCTACTACCCTGCTAACATTCCTTCCTGACCTACTACCCTGCTAATATTCCTTCCTGACCTACTACCCTGCTAACATTCCTTCCTGACCTACTACCCTGCTAGCATTCCTTCCTGACCTACTACCCTGCTAATATTCCTTCCTGACCTACTACCCTGCTAACATTCCTTCCTGACCTACTACCCTGCTAACATTCCTTCCTGACCTACTACCCTGCTAATATTCCTTCCTGACCTACTACTCTGCTAATATTCCTTCCTGACCTACTACCCTGCTAATATTCCTTCCTGACCTACTACCCTGCTAATATTCCTTCCTGACCTACTACCCTGCTAATTTTCATTCCTGACCTACTACCCTGCTAATATTCTTTCCTGACCTACTACTCTGCTAATATTTCTTCCTGACCTACTACTATGCTAATATTCCTTCCTGACCTACTACTCTGAGAACATTCCTTCCTGACCTACTACCCTGCTCATATTCCTTCCTGACCTACTACCCTGCTAACATCCCATCCTGACCTACTACCCTGCTAACATCCCATCCTGACCTACTAGCCTGCTAACATCCCATCCTGACCTGCTACTCTGCTAGCAACCCATTCTAATGTGCTTGCCTTGAAAACATCTCATTTGATCTGCTTTCCTGCTAACATGCCATTTGATGTGCATTCCTGCTAACAATTTATCCTGACCTCCTACATTGCTAACATTCCATCCTAACCTTTTATTCTGCTGTCATCTCATCCTGACCTTTTATCTTGCTAACATCTCATCCTGCCCTACTAATATTCCCATTATACGTTGCTTCCCTGCTGACATTCCATTTAATGTGCTTTTCACCCCATCCTTACCTACTGCCCTGCTAACATCCCATCCTGACCTGTTACCCTGCTAACATTCCATTCTGATCTGCTACGTTACTGGCTGCTAGATTCGTCTAAATCTATTATATGTGCTTTCATACATTGTCAAGACATTGGGGGTCATTTATTAAAACTTGAGAGCACAAAATCAGGTATAGCTCTGCATGGAAACCAATTAATTTCTTGGTTTTATTGTCAAAGCTTAATTGAACAAGCTGCAGTTAGAAGCTGATTGGCTATCATGCATAGCTGCACCAGACTTTGAGTGCACCAGTATTACTAAGGCTGGCCATACATTATACAATTTTCCTGAGATTTTTGCTTTAGGTTTACCAAAAACCATATCATATGAGGTCAAACCTAAACACTTTCAATTGTATATAATTAGGCATTCCCTTGCACTACATAGTGGAAGGTAAATCTAAAACAAATTGGGCAGAAATTGGTCAAAAAACTGTAAGAAAATTGTATAGTGTATGACCAGCCTAAATCTCTCCCATTCTGTATGTTATCATGGAGCTGCAGGCACTTCCTGTAACTATTTACTTTACTGGCCAAATCTGTAAATTAAACATTATTTATGCATGGTTTTTAATTCGCTTTGTGTTCTGTTTAACCACTTGACCTCAGGAAGATTTACCCCCCTTCGTGACCAAGCCATTTTTTGCTTTTTGGCACTGCGTTACTTTAGCTGACAATTGTGCAGCCATGCAACGCTATACACAAATGAAGTTTATAAAAAAATTTCACACAAATAAAGTTTTCTTTTTGGTATTTTATCACTGGGTTTTTTATTTTTTGTGCTATAAATAAAAAAAAAGACCGAAAATTAAAAAAAAAAATTATTTACTTTCTGCTATAAAACATATCCAATAAAAATTTTTTAAAAATAAAATGTCTTCATAAATTTAGGCTAAAATGTATTCTGCTACATATTTTTGGCAAAAGAAATGGAAATAAGCATATATTGATCGGTTTGTGGGAAAGTTATAGTGTCTACAAACCATGGTATATACTGGAATTCTTATTTATTTCTTTTTATACTAGTAATGGTGATGATCAGCAATTTATAGCAGGACTGCAATGGTATGGTGGCCAATCTGACACTTTTGACACTTTGTGGGAACCAGTGACACTAATACAGTGATCATTACTAAAAATATACACTGTCACTGTACTAATGACACTGGCTGGGAAGGGTTAAACATCTAGGGAAATGAAAGGGTTAAATGTGGTGTGCCTAACCACTGTTTGGGGATGTGCCGGTTTTTATGCCCTGCTTTACAGTTAAACAAAAACCCCATTGACAGGACAGAGCTCTGTATTGTTTACAGAGCTTTGCCCTGTCTTCCTCCTCAATGATCAGCGGCAGTCAATCATTGGCCGGCACCTGCTAATCACTGCGCAGCCGGCGTACGTCCTACCCGGAAGTGCTAGATCACGTACTAGATACGCGATCTGGTACAGGAGAGCCGCTCTGCCACTTTACTCTTACAGGAGGTGGTTGGACAGCGGTTAAAATATATTTCCATATCTAAGGCATATGAGCATATTTATTAGCAGATTAAAGGGAATGTATAGTTTGATCAGTGTGTTTTTAGATATTCATTTAAAATAGACCATCTTGTTAATAATCTTATCACTATGTGGTAAATTTATAAAAAAAATTGCAAAGCAATTTACTTAGTGAAAGTGCATGTACATTTGCTTAGTGAAAGTGCATGTACATTTAGTTTAGATCGGCTTTCTCAGCTCTGGTTCCCCCAGAGGTTGCTTGGGGTTCCTTGCGAAAGGAGCAATTAATGCCACTCAAATAAGTTGCTACTGAAACCAATGATTTTTTAGCAATGTGTAATAAGGAAATTATTCCCACTGACCATAAATGTAAGGAACGTACTTCTCCATAACCTCAAACAAATGTACAATGAACTGTGGATGCAGTCATTTTTAGCAGTGGTTCCCTGTTCCCGAAACACTATTTCAAGGGTTCCTCAAAATTTAAAAGGCTGAGAAAGGCTGGTTTCGATTGGTGAGTGAAATCTGCTTTTATTCCTCAGTCTAGACCAAGTGTCTCCAGGCCAGATGTGGCCCTTTGAGTCCCTTTATCTGGCCCTTGGGCACTACTCCTCCAACTGACACCAATGATGGGGCATTGTTTACTACCATTGATGCCAAAGCATTTTTGGCTCTCACTGGTCACAGTCTGGCCCCCTAAAGCCTGAAACACTGTAATCTAGCCCTTTGCTTAGAATGTTTGGAGACCCCTGCTCTAGACTGAAAGTTGATTGATTTATTATCGGTTTCTTTGGTTTGTGTTATTTCTAATTGATGTTTTCTTTATCTGTGTTATTATATAACCGGAGAAAGACCGCCTCATTGCTCTGAACTGTTCATACTTGATACACTATTAATTTAACACATTTCATATTTCTTTTATTGGTTCACAAGGTAATGGTCTCACATAACACTTTCATCGAAGAGGGAACAGTTAGATTGTTGCCCTTCTTGGTTTCCCCGATAGATCAGGCTTTGTATTTATCAGGACATTGTCTGCTTCATTGCTTGTGTCTTGTCTCTTAGGGATGTGGGGATTTCATGACCGAGACCTTGTTCTAAGGAAAGCTCTTTATACCATGATGAGAAGTGGAGCAGAGAGGGAGGCACTGAAGAGGAGATGGAGGTGGCAGCAGACGCAGCAAAACAAGGAGGTATTAGTGTCTGGCTGTTTAACTCCTGCTGCTGAGCACATAAAGACGTCTTCAAGTACCTTGTTACAAGCACTTTGCTGCCACATGAGAAGTTGAATGCTGACACCTGTCCAGAGCAACAAGCTCCTAATCTTACAATACACCCTAAATATGCTCTGGTGGAATAGTCTGCATTTCATTTTTTTTCATTGGTTCATGACCAAATGCTGTAGAGCCTTCTTGAAGTCCTGCCAAGGTCACCCTGAGATAACCCTCAAAAATCCCACCATTGTTTAATGTGCTTTTTTGGAAAGGCAAACAATATCACAGGCATCAAAAATGGGGTTAGCAATGAAAGAACATATATGAATTAAACAGCGTTCCCGTGGTATTTCATGTATAATAAGATAAACTGCTGCCCTCCAGTGCAAAGTTAACATAGAAAATTTGAATGCTGACCAAAGCTATACATTGCTTCTCCACTTCTCAAAGAAGTCATTCTAGGCAGAAAAGGAATATTGATATTTAGTAAGACAAGGGGAGTATATTAGTGTAGGAAATGGGAGATTGGATATAATGTAGGTAAGTCATTTTTAAACCATGAAAACATGGATTTATAGCATATAGTATTTTTTTTTAACTGGCCAGTGGGTTTCATGCCAACTCTTGGCCACTAAATAGGAGATTTACTAAAACTGGTTGACTCAGAATCATGGGCACCTGTGCATGGTAGCCAATCAGCTTCTAACCTTAGCATGTTCAGTTACGCTTCAGCAATAAAACCTGGAAGCTGATTGGTTTTTATGCAGAAGTAGACAAGATTCTGAATCAACCAGGTTTAGCAAATAAACCCCTAAGTGTCACTAACCCCAGACCAAAAAATCAAATGCAATATTCCTTTCCTATATACATGCTCTACATACCTATAAATAGCAATGTCAGATTGTTAGTGAAATATATATGTAATCATTATGCTCAGCTGACTTCCTTTATGAAGATGGCTATGTTTGCCGTATATGGTCCCTCTATATATAGGATGTAGCCACCCTCCTTCGCGCACTCCCACTATAGACTACTTTCATATTCAGCACGAGAAATCCCTCCCGTTCATAATGTAAATTCTGTTTGTAGTGAGAAATGCAGTCCATTTATTATTGAGCCACCCTTGCAGCATGGTAATGAATCTTGGAAGATGAAATCTGTGTATAGCAGTGCATGTTCAGTTAATACACATGCTCATGCACTACTCAGAATACAAAACCAAAAGTTCAGCAATAGTGGGGATAGTGCAGTGAGGGGAGAATCAGTGTTCTGAAAAATGTAAGCACTGTTTACTGACTAAAAAATAGTTTTTGTATATAATGTAGCTGCAGGGCTTACACCTAGTACACACATTTAATTATTTTTTTTTTTCATTTAACCCAGCAGGCTATGCGATGTTAGTGCAGTGATCTCCCTCGCTGAACTATTATGTTCTGACAGGGGGACTGTGAACCCCCCCCCAGAACACACTGATCAGCACTCACAGCCATTGACTGCCAGTACTGTTTGACTGCTGATCCGCTGCTGGTTTTCCAGCATGCCCCTTTGACAAAAGCCAGTCCTTGAATTTAAGGACAGGTAAAGTATATCTAAGCCAATGGTACTCAACTTTACGTAGTGGGCCTTAAGTGTGGCCCCTGAATTTTGCCAAAGGCCAAACGTAATATTCAGTGCTTTCATTCTTGGCACTGTACCACATTAAATGCATGAATGATGTTTGGCTTTTGACTAAAGGTCTTCTGGCAGATTATTTTATTCAGATCAAAAAAAAAAAAAACCAGCTCTCTCTGGTGTGACTAGACAGACCAAAACAAAGTATATATTCAAAATTATATCTATTTTTCCTTTGTACAGTCTGGACTGGTTTACACAGAGGATGAATGGGAGAGAGAGTGGAATGAGCTTCTCAAACTGGCATCTAGTGAGCCTCGGACACACTTCAGCAAGAATGGAGGCTCTGGTGGTGGGTAAGTTTTAACTAATACATATTTGAAATAACAATGCAAAGAAAATAATTAATTTGTAAAAAAAAAAAACATCCCAGCATTGTATAATCTAAATCCAGAATCTTCTAATTCTATCTATATTAAAAGTGTATTTCCACTTTTGCAGCCAAATTGGCCTCTGCCATTTTATCACGGTAATGGTTAAAGTGTTACTACACCCAGGACCCTGCGTTCACTATATCTAGTTTCCCACAGTACACAGAAAATGAAAATACAAATATTTTAATAGTAAATATCAATTGCTAAATAGCTTTTCTCTTCAGCAGTCTTGTAACTTCTATCAGTGTCTAGCAGAGCACTGGTTACAGTGTGTAGGAGGAGTTTTAATTCTGCTCTGACTGTCTTATGAGGCTGAATGATCCCTGACACTCTGGACAGCGCTGATTAGCCCTGTGCTGATCACATGCACCCTCCCCTCCAAAAAAAACTCTAGCAATACACACCAAGCTGAGCATGTGCAGAGTGCCTCCTAGTGCTCTGTACTATCAGCAGATGGATTGGGGACTTTGAAAGAAGGAGAAAATCAGAGAAGATAGGATCAAACAGCCTTTTTACACAGTGCAGAGGATTAACCCCTTAGGTTCCACAATGAGTATAACAAGCATGCTTTACTGCATATACAGACTGATTTTACTGTTGTGGGTTTAGTAACACTTTAAGGCTGTGGGAATTGAGCACTGATATCATCCGCTAGGTGGAGTGTTGCATAGTCAAGCTCTAAGCTCTTTCTTCCACCATTCAGCCTATGGGAAGCACCATTCTGGTATTACTCTGGATGTTGAAGTTCACCATGAACCATCTGGTTTCCCATCTCATTCCACTGCTTGCCTGCTGTGACTTGGCCACCTTCAGCCTCCTGTGACTCTCATCAGCTTCAGTTTATTGGGTTTATGATTATGCAACACTTTGCCTCTCTTTGGGTCTAGTTGTTTTCAGGGTGCAACATGTCTTTTAAAAGAATCAGAGATCAGTCCATCTGCAATCATGGACCTCCCTTCATATTCTCCTACTGCTTCTAGGGACAACTACTGCGACTAGGGTCACCCAGAAGGTGACAATGCCTTTAACCTGGACCCCTGGGACCCCTATTAATGGTTGTTCATCCTCATTGGAGTCTTATTCAGCTCCAGCGAATTAGGATGAAACCTCCCCCATATCCACAAAGCTTCTTATTTCCACTTTGATTTTTTGTCGATCTGTGCACAAATAATAGAAAAACCTGCTTGTAGAGGTCCTTAGTGCACTCTCGCACTATCCATGGCAGAATCTAACTCTGACCCTATTGGGCCTCCATCTCTAAAAACCCTGATGCCCCTATTACAATCTCTGTTTTAGATTCAAAGTCTGCACAGTTAGAAGAAGCTGTGTTTCAGCAAATTCAGATTTACAAGGGGTGGTTTTTAACCTAATTTGTTCTTGTATATTAGAGTGTTTCTTTCATTTGGTACAAGAAGTGGATTGCATCACGGAATCACTGAATATTTAATTTGTATTGTGTTAAATGTGGAACACTTTATAGATTTTGACAGCAGTACATATTACACTTTCTATACACAGGCACTAAGAGTGGTTGTACAGGAGTATTTTTATTTTAATTTTGGTTGATTCTAACTGTATATTTATTTTCATTTTGGTTGATTCTAACCTGATTGTACATACTACCTTGTATTTGCGTCACGCTTGGAGTATTTTAGAGTTCTTAAAACTGCTCAAAGCTTCTAAATACTGTATGCTCTTTGTTTAAAATATGCCTCTACGAGGACTTAAACAACCTTTTGCATCCTACCCTCCTCCTGACAATGTGAAGGAATTTTTTTCCTTCAAAAGTGGTCTTTGCCCACTGTAGAAATTCCCATCCACCTTAACAAGAATACAACCAAACAGGTTGATGGTGTTTTTTTACATCTGGGATTTCACTGACAGACACTTCCAACTCCCTACTTAGGTCTCAGTTTGAATTAAACCTCTGTTGGCTTACCCCTTCTTGTGTGGTCTATGTCCCTTTCAGTATCTCTATTGAGATAGAGAGTTTGGATTGTGGGTAAGGCACCAAGAAGTCCCAGATGCTATATGCTAGACTGAATGGTCCTGTCCCCCTTCCTGGGAGGACTTGCCAAATGGATGTTTCCTCTTAATTGTCTCCAAAACAGACAGTTCCCAAGTTGTCATGAGGCCCCTCTGTTATTGATCTCCTGAGCTGACCTCCGGAGGGTTGGACAACATCTGGGTGCTGCAAGATCTTCACCTGTAAACAGCTTTTTTGAACTCTTCTTGTAACCAATTGCCTGACCTACTCTATGCACTAGGCAGCATTGAATATGTCATTCATGAGTACACTGCCTTTCCTAGAGTCAAAGTATTGCCTTCCGGATCCCCTCATCTAAGGACCCCCACATTGAAGGGTTAGGGTTCTGCATGTAAGTGCCCCTCCTATCTTCCTTGTAAGGAAGTATCCATCGCTGGAAGGTCCTGTACTCCCTTGGACAGTTAGCAGTCAGGACACACCATTACTCTGCTGCAGATTCCCCCCTAAGAGTGATAGTGCAAGTCCAGAGGCCTTAACGGGCCCTGATGAAGAAGATAGAGCCTTCTTTTTTGTGGGTGATCTGTGGGCCTTTAAGGAAGTCTGTTTGATTCTTTGCTCTTTTATATTTTCTATCAGGTGAATGTTCCTAGTGCTAGTACTAGGCTTTTTACTCAGAATCTGGTGCAGCTGTGCATGGTAGCCAATCAGCTTCTAACTTCAGCTTGTTCAAGATAAGTGTCACTAAAAACACATCATTAAGACTATCAATACATGCTGTATTACATGTTGTTCAAACCAACTCAGTCACTATGGGATTTGTTTTCTGTATATTGGATAAACTTTGTTGATCCTGCTGTTCACTGGCTCTATGGCGTATACACAGTGGTAAATGACAGCCCACTCTCTCATGCTCACTAACCAGCTAAACACAATGGGGGGTGGGATATTACATCTTGATTGATGGAGGTTTCACCTCACTGTTATTCTAAGACACATGCTGGAGTGGCGTGACACAGTCTGTGAATGGCAGAAATCCAACCACACCATGTTATTGCCAAAAAAAAAATAACAATTTTATGTCAAATATATATTTGTGTGACAATTTAAAACAGTTTATTGATATTAATTATTTATTTTTACTCTGTATCCCAAAGGCAGTTTTTTTTTTCTAACACGTGACCAGCAACAGAGGACTAGAAGCTCCTCCTGCCACTATTTCACTGCAGACAGGCTGGGAAAGAGCTGGGTCATGTGACAGCTGTATATAGATTAGGAAAAAGGGTACTTAGATTTTTTTTTTGTTTAATTAATTAAAATAATTTGCAGTGCCATCATTACACCCAGAAAGTGAAGGGATAATGTAAATTAAATCTGTGCACAGAAACCAATCAACTTCCTGATTTTATTGTCAAAGCTTAATTTTACACTCCAGTTTTAGTAAATCTCCCCCATGCTTCCACATAGCATTTTTTTTTTATCAGGAGTGGTTGATCAAATGAAAGTTTTCCAATAGTCTTGTTTGACAACTTGACAATAGACTTCTGTTGTACAGAGAGCGTTATTCCCTCTGGCCCACAATGAATACATTTTAGCAAGGGTTCCCTGAACCCTAAAAATATTTCAAGGGTTCTTTTGAGGGGGAAAAGGTTGCAAAAGGCTACTGTAGAGCAGGGGCAGAATGACAACTCATGGGGCCCCCGGGCAATAGGGGATCATGGGGCCCCTGTGTCCTTGCCCAAACTCAAAAAAGCCTATGAAAAAGGTACCAGGGGCATCTCATGGGGCCCCCTACTGACCCCAGGCCCTCGGGCAGTGCCCAAGTTTCCAAATGTTCAGTCCGCCCCTGCTGTAGAGCATTATTTTTTATTACATTTTCACATTAATCTGAATGCTGATGCTGTACAAAGATGTTAACCTTTTAGTCTGATCAGTGAATTGCAAAATATGCTTGGTCTCTCATTTATATGTGACAGGTTCTCTTCAACAACCTTCCTTACCTAATCTATATTTTGCTTTCCAAGAATTACAACGAGATGTTGGAGAGTTAATGGTAGTGGTACTTTAAAAGCACAAGGAGTGTTGGAGTAAAACTCATTTAGCAGCTATTGAATTGAGCAGATATTTTTCAATGACATTTGCGCAAGTGTCGAGGGAAGCCCGACTGCATACAGATTAATCTGCACTGCAAATTGAAAATGAACAGCACTGCAGTAACTGCTCATCAGATAAACGAACAATGTTTCACAGTGAATCAGGCATAATTACTTAGAATAAAAATTTGTTATTATTACAATCATACTGGAAGACGTGCTGCTTTGTGAGCAATTTTCGATTTCACTCTGTGCCACAGATAGTAGATGCAGAAATTAAAATTCAGCATCTCTAGTAGGTCGTGTGTGTGTGTGATTTCAGGACTATGTTTTCAGAAGGATTTCTGTAGAATAGACTGCAGAATAGTACTTGTCTTGGTCAAAATAACCATTATAGGTGAATGCACTTAAATCAGAACGAAACGTAAAGATGAGCTCCAGCCTTACCGTCACAGTTGTACATGCTCCTCTCCTGCATTGACGATGCTAAGTCTGATTTCACTACACACTCCAAGCTTCTGCATGTGAGCATTAGATGCTGCAACAATTTATATAGAACCTCTCATTTTCTTTCTGGAAGACATCCAGCCTCATCTAGCTCCTAACTCCCCAGCCTTGGATGTCTCTATACTCATCAATGGTCAGGAACATCATCTATGTTCATTGCTGTGTAATTCATGCATATTTGATGTAGCCACATTTATACTTTTATTGTCCTTTTTTAATGGTTATGTAATAAAGTTATTGGAATTTTTACATCCTTGAGTTCTCATAGATGTTTTGCTATGATAGTCCCTTTCATTAAGAGGGTATATTTTTCATTGTTAACTCCCCAGCCTGACTAT